CAAACATCTGTAAAAGGTCACAGTAATTGAAAGAGAATGAAAGATTATGTAACATCTAGATACAGTTTTTACTATTTATTGAATTAATCATAAATCATAACTTAAACTGTTTGTCTTTCATTCTACAGGTGACTCGCACAAGATCTCAGAGCATGTCATACATGCATGAAGCAGAGGTCCAGTCCAGATACCAGATAATTGCCTTTGAAGTTTTTCCAGTGTCAACCTATTAATACCTTTCCTCATAGATACCTGATATATGCAACCTGCTTTATAAAAATGCTGCTCTAGCAGCTTTCCTCCAACGCTTGTAACATTCTCTCCATTCCTGTTCTAGGGATCTCATTCCTTCATCAGGAGCTACCTCGACCTGTCTCATGAATGACTCTTAGAAGGAGTTGGGACAAAATCCTTAAAAACAATTTACATTTGGAAAAGTATCACGTACAGTTTTATTGGCTTTGCTACTTCTAAGTTGCATAAGCTCTTCAAAAATAATTAGCATTTCTACTGAGCATCATAACATTCTTTGAAAATTTCATACTAAGGCATATCTATAGGTATAGGTATCTATAGGTATCTGTAACAAAGGTATCTATATAGGTATCTATAACAACGATAACTTCAGTTTGCAGTGACAGTCCACATATATGTCTTCTTCCTAAAAAGGATAAGAAACTGCAGGTTTTCTAAGCTTGCATAACAGCAGCAACTTCAACCAGCTGCAGAAGTCTAAATTAGAGGAACAGATTTCTGCCCAAAGGTTTTTCAAATTACTGGATAAATAAATATCTTGCTGCACACCCATTTAAGACCACTGGCTATTTTTTTTCAGGCCTTTGACATCCTGAGAGATGAGAAAGCTCTTCTACCTTGACAAGTGAACTAGGGATCACTAACTTGACACCCCAGTAGGAAGTGCTGCTTCCTTGGGGCAGGTGTTTCTTAGCATTCTTGTGCTTGTTATCATTCTGTGAAAGCTACACGTTTCAGGCGCTGAACAATACTGGATTGTCACTGAGTGGGAAAAAGAAAAACAACTTTCTTGTCACTTTATCTGTAAAGCACAGCAGAAGTTTGGTCATCTGGGAACGCTCATTATGCTCTTTTCACAGATTTTTTTTTTTCTCTCTGTGCTATAATGATATATTAAAATACATAAAAGCAATATATCATTGAAGTGCAAAGAATAAGAACCGCAGTCTTGCCATMTTAGGTCATTTGACCTAAACATCAATTACATACAGTTCCTTTCTTAAAACTTTTTGTAAAGACTTATATATATATTTTTTTTTTCCTGCAAGAATTGTAGCTTTTCCCCCATCCTGTTGCATTCCCTTTCCTCCCGAGATATGCATTTTACAAGCATATTCAATTTGCTTGCAAAGAGGTACATGTATCCCGAAGAAAATGCTTTCTAAAACTAATAAAACTCCTTTCCATTATGTTTCACAACATAAATGTGAATTAATTGAGGAACCTATAATCCAACTGTTTACCTAGGGAAATAATACTTGATACAGTAATCTTCTGAGAAAAACTGCCATCCYTTTCTTTCTATAATAGCATTCTTTCAGTGGAACACATAACTGTAAACACTACTGACAAATAAGATGCTTTTCAACAGAATGAATCAGAACATCACTAGGCTATGTAAAACGCGAATAAGCTGTATTGACTCCAGACACCTAGCAGTTCAGACGATTAGTACAGCGTTTTTAAGTCTTCCTTAAAAACGTATTTTTATAGAACCTGTCACACCATTACCCGAAGTTTCGGGAGGGTAGTTTTCATAGCCCAAGTTTCCAGATGCACCTTTTGCTTCCCGCACTCGCTGTGTCCTTACGCGCTCCGCACGCCTCAGCAGTCCAGCGTCTTGGAGGCGACTCTCAGCGGGAGCCTGAGCAGCGCGCTGACATTTACCGCAGCTGGGCAAAGTGGCCTGGGTCAACGAGACGGAGCGGCGGCGGCCACCAACGAAAGCCACCAGCCGCCACCACCGCACCGCGGCTCGCAAAGCTCTAACTTTGCCCCTGGCCCCGCTCCGCTCACACACACGCAGCGATGCGCGCAGAGCGCAGCGGCTCCCGCGCCCGCCAGCGCCTCGCGAACTTACTGCAGTGCGATGCAGGAGCAGGAACAACACGTCCCCGGGCTGCGAGGCTCCCGGCGCCCTGGGCGGCGAGGGGACCGGCCATGCAGCGGGCTCGGCGGCTGCCGCAGCGCAGCGCGCCCGGCCCCGCTCCGCTCCGCGCGCCGCCGATCCCTGCGCCCCGGCAATCGGCAGCAGCGACAGCCCTGGCCGCGGGTTTTTAAGCGGCGGTGCAGCGGCGGATCACCCACCCCCTTCCTGGCAGGGGGAGGGGAGGGGACAGGCGACACACACACACACACATACACACGCGCGCGCACGCAAACGCCGCGCACACGCGCTGCTCACTGATGCCCTCCCCACTGCTGATGCCTCCGCGCAGGCTGCGCTACCTGGACTCCGGCTCCTGCAGCCCCCGGGGCCGCTGCGCGCCCGGCTGGCGGCGCGGCCAGCAGCGCGCCCGGCTCCGCGCCTCCCCGCCGCTCCGCGCAGCCCTCACTCCAAGTTCCCCCGGCGTCTCCGCGGCGCTGCGCTCCCCCGAGGCAGCGGGGCCGCAATAGCGGCCGCGCCCGTGCGCGGAGCGGAGCGGCGGTGCGCGGGGGYGCGCGTGCAAGCGGCCCGCCCGCCGTGCGCACCTGCGCGGTGACTGCCCCGCGCACCTGCGGCCGCGCGCGCTGCCCCGCGCTGCCCCCCGCGCCCACGAGCCTCTGTTGGCCCTCCGCGCCGGGGGAAAAGCCGTGGCCTAGGACATAAAAATAAAGGTCTTTCTGCCAGCGTGGCCCTCCTATCACGACAGAGATGATAGAGAAGATAAACTTTTCACTGAAAGCTCCCCCGTGACCTGTGTGGCAATTTGTCTTGGCCAAAAGCAATTCCTTTGAAATGCTGCCTGGTGGATTTATAAGGGAAGCAGAACCACCAAACTTTCATCCTGATCCAGTCCCAGGAGCCCTTTTGGATAATTCATTCATCTGCCTCGGAAAATCAGCTGTGATCTCGAGAGTTTGGTTAATTACAATAGGGATCAGCTGTCTGAATCCCCTTTGCTACTATAGGCACTAAATAGACTTCAGAAGTGGAGATTGTTTCAGGCAAGCTAAATGGAAGTTGGAATGCTGCCAGTAATTTTGTATACTAATAAAACTGCAAAAAAAAAAAAAAAAGAAAATATCAAATATTTTGCCAAGTTTTTTTTTAGTTGTTTTGTAACTGCATCTGTTACTCCTTCCTGAAATCTGCATTTAAAGGGTTTAACTTTTGCATAACATAGAAGTGTTAGAAATTTGGAGGTTCCTCTTTATTTTAGTTGTCATATAAAACCTTACCAGTCCGATTTCATTGCTAAAGATTTTTGATTTCTTAAAGGAGGATTTCTCATTCACCTATCTGCTGGTAAACRCCTTCCTCAGACTACACAATATGTACTTTCTGTAAAATATCTGCTGCACACTCCAGTAAAAGACACTCAACTGTTTTGAATTAGCAAGTTCCCAAAACTGATTAACACTTCAGCATTTGTATTTAACCCAAGGACTGAATATTTAGATTGTACTCATACTCTTGATTTTTTTTTTTCTATAATAACATGTAATGAATATATGTTTATACTGTACACTGTATTATGAACATATTAGTGTGTTTACAACCAAAATTACTGTGTGCATATTATCTTTGATTGCCTACAGACTACTTAAAAATTTTTCATTTGATTTGCAAARAAAAAGGGAACAAACAAAAATATCTCAATCACTTTGGAAAAATTTGTTCTAGGAAGCATAGTCTTATCACAAAATCCTTTCAGTTCAGATCCCTGTCAGTAGGCACTACAAACCATATAAATACATTTCCAGATTATCTGAAGGACATGACTAGCACTTGCCTTTAGTCTTCCATGCTTAATGTATTGCTTTCTGTCTAAAACTCTGATTTGCAAAGATTTCTTTTTTTTTTTCAGAGAAAGAATTTGGTCCCAGCCTATCCGAGCCTTACAAGGGCCACAAGGTATGGATCAAAGCACTGAAGTACAATGACTAGTTATTTAATTGTSATGCATCATTTGAATATGATAGATATAAATATAGGTATAGATTATATATATGTATCCACATATATATATAWAAATAGGCTCTCCAATAAAATACTTGATCCAATGRTTTGAGTTTGTTTTATTGTTTTGAAGGGCCCCACTGCCGTGGGTATTGCCTTCAAACATTCTCACTTCTGCAAGACCATATCAAAACCAGAATTGATATAGAAAATTATGGTTTAAAAATACAGACATTTGGATGTAGATATAACCACTAACACTATACATAGGTTTCGTTACACCTTTTTTAGTCAGACCTCTAATGTTCTCTTCTATCCTGCATTGTAACCATGTTCAACTTCATACATATTGAAATGAAGAGGCTGCCAAAATCATCAGTAGTATCGGTCCATTAGCATTTGTAGCTTTAAAAGATGAAAGTTCAGTCTGAGGTCTTGAGATAAAATAGGGAAACTGGTTCATTAAGCAGTCCACCTGCCTTACAAAAGCATTAATCATTATCTGGCCAGGAGACAACTCAAAGCTATCAAAGATCYCAGTGAAAGCTGTCAAACTAAAGGGACACTCATGTGAGGATTGTGTTTGCACTAGAAGAATGCTCATGACAATTGCTCCACTCACTGCTAGCCTTGGAAGCAGTAATAACAGGTGCAATTTTGAGAAAATGATGGGGATGGAGAGAAGGCCAAGGCTGAAATATGGCTTATAACTAAGAGGTTCCACAACCTCAACTCAGTGGCTGTGTTTGGAGGAGGCGTATAAGGCATATAACCTGTGACTACAGGCCTTATACCCCTCCTCCAAACACAGAGCTTTGGTCCTGGTTCAGGTTTCAGAGCTTTGGTCCTGTTCTAGAAGAAATATGCTGCCTAAACTGTACCTGCTCCTGTCCTCTTCCTCTCTGTTTAAGTACCTACTATAAACAGATTACCATCTGAAAGAGTCTGCCTCTTAACAGCTCATTCTCACACCGCAGAGAAAATAACAGATGTCTGGAATCCACAGCCAGAATTTTCAAAATGAAATTTCTTTCTCAAATCTGTATATGGTCATTTGAATAAATTATTTGTGCTGCTAAACATAGCTTTAAATTACTCACTTAACCTGCCTTTATTATGAACTCAGGAATCAGTCTAATAATATTTAATGAAGAAGAAAGCACCACACAATGAAGTCACATTTAATGAAGAAGAAAGTAATTTTTTTTCAAATGAGAAGTCACAACAATATCAGATGTTTGTGATATCTTTGTGATATCTTTTCAGTATATATTAAAGGAAATTGAATGTAGTGAAAAACATTATTGTAATAAATGCTTAACTTGTATGCTTCACCTATTTTCGTCAAGAAAGGTCAGTATACACCAGAAGTATGCATCCAGAAATACCAAATTCACCAGCAATTCAGAAAATAAAAAAGGATGCATATAAGGATCCAGACATTTTCATCAGAAATAATATCTGGTCTATATCATGAAATTACTTTGGAACTTTGATTCCAAAAGAAATATTTCTAATGGAGTGATTTTGAGAACATGAAAGATTTCAGATATTCTATTCAATCTTTACTTACTTTTTGTCAGGTCAGTAAAGACCTGGGAAAAATACTGAAAAAAAACTTCAGGTTCTTTCAGGTTATCACAGTTATAGGGGCACATTGGCTTCATTCTTTAACTGCTACAGGCCAGTGAATCACTTCTGCCTCAGAAGATCAGGCAGCTAGTCCTCTTGTAGCACATAGGAATGGGAAGGAGCACGTGGCCATGGGAAGGAGAACATAGTGACTGGGAGCAGTCAACATGGATTTACTAAGGAAAAAATCTTGACTGATCAATCTGATTGTCTTCTGTGAAAAAGTGACTTAATGTATGGAAAAGAGAAGGGGATGACACTCACTTGAGTGAATATATGGACAAGAGAAGGGAATGACACTCCCCTCAGCTTTAGCAAGACTTTCTACATTGCCTCCCACTACAATCACACACCCAAGTTTGGACGTTACTTTCTGGATAGGTGGAAATTAGATGGGTAGATAACTCATTAGATAGCTGAGCTCAGAGGGTAGTGGTTAATGGGCTATATGCTTTCTGGATACCCATAAGAAAAAGCATACCATAGGGATCGATCTGGAGATCTATCCTGCTTCATATTTTTATCAATGACCTGGATAACATGAGATAACCTGGATAACATGTCTTTAAATTTGCAGATGAGACAAAGTGTTAGGACATGTTGACATATTCATGGGCTTGCCAGAGGAATGGGCTGACAGGAATATCATTAGATTTAACAAGGATAAACACAAAGCCCTGCAGCAAGGAGAGAGTAACCTCTGTGATGGTACCTGCTGGGGAGTGCCTGGTTAAGGAGCAGCTCTGCTGAAAGGGCAACCACAAGCTGAGCATGAGCCCTCAGTGTGTCCTGGCAGCAAAGCCAGCCAGTGACATCCTGGGGTACATGGATGGAAACACAGGCAGAAGACTGAGGGAGGTGAAGGGAATGCCCCTCTGCTCAGCACTCAGATCACATCTGYAGTATTGGTTCACTGGACTATTCAAGTTAAAAGGCTTTATCCAGTTAGATATTGACGGTCAAAGACGGACAGAGCACAACCTACCTGGGAAAGCTGTTTCACTGCTTAACTGTCCTCATGATGAAGATTTTCCTTATATTCAGTTTTAATCTTTCATTTCAACTTATGCCTATTACCCCTTCCTACCTATGCCTTCCTACCATGCATAAATGTGAGGAGCCTGGCTCTTCCTTCCAGATAATCTCCTTGCAGATGTTGGTAGTCTGCTCTTAGGTCCTTCTGGAAAAAAGCCTTTCCTTTGCGAGGTTGGACAAGCACAGCTCCCTGAACCTCTGTTATGGGCCTCAGTTTGGGAAGGCAGTAGTGAAAAATCCATGCCTAATTATTGCCAGTGATGACAGGCAGATTGTCATATGAGTGTAACAATACTTGAATGTATTTGTCTCTACTCTGATTTTATAACATTATCTTTAATGCTTTAATGCTTTTTTTCTCT